GGCCGCTCGCTCCGGGGTGGGCGCCCGAGGGCCGGGGCCGCCTCTTCCCCCGTGGGCAGCGGTGGTACCTCCCGGCGTCCGGTGAGCGCCCCGGCCCAGGGGCCCCCTTCCCTCTGCCCCCACGCACGCCGCCGCGCTCCGCCCAGCCACAGAGTCCCCGCCGGGCGAGAGCGGCTCCACATCCGGGTACTGACGCACCCAGGGTCCGAGCAGCACCTTCTCTGAGTGACTAGGAGAGGGGTCCTCAGCAACAGTAGGGTGGGAAGGGTATTGGAGAATCGCGCGACCCAAGAAAGAAAGGAAAGAAAAATTGATCCCTAAGCGTCTCTCTGGGGCCCACGGCGAGTGCGCATGCGCTTGGCCCATGAAAGGGGAGTAGATGCCCAGCTTGTCTGGGGCGACGGAGGGGCGGCTCCCTGGAGTTGCCTCCCGGTGGTGCGGCACGCCCCATTGGCTGTGAGGAAAGGGGCGGGGCAAGGAACTTTTGTCGGGCCGGCCTGGCGCTGGGGCTGGAGGAAGTGAGACTAGGGATGCGATCCCGGCTGCTGAAACTAGGTGGCTACGATGAGATCAGTCTTTTATTAAGTCCTAGTGTCTCTGCTGTACTAAGTGTGACATTCATGTTGGGAATTTCGTATCTTTTAGTCTTTTTTAACAAGGCGGGGGGGGTAGGACAGATTATAGCATAGATTAAAGGCAACTTGTATTTGTGTGGGTAAATTGAAAACATTTTAAACGAGATTGAATGATTTAAGCAAAATGGTAATGAATGATGTGTCTTGCCTCTATGCAGAGTGAGAATGGTAAGCAGACTCCAAACAGCGCAAATTTCTGAGAGTTTACAAGCACCTTGCCCAGAGATAATTCTCTTTAATAATTCAGCCCCAATCGCAAAATACAATTTGAAAGGAAAATAAGAAGACTCTAAGAGTGGTTTCTGGCTGCTGTTACTTAAATGACATTATGATGTGTGAGATTTAAAATCATTGTTACACGGCCCAACACGGATGCATTGTAAGCATACTGTTGCTTCTCCCGGAAAGTCAAGGGAGCAGGAAATACTCCAGAAGAATTGAATAATCAAGCGGAAAGAAAAGGGGTGTAAAATGTAACCAATGAACTATGTAGTGAAATAAAATGTTCTCAATTTTTCATATTAATAAAACAGGAAAATACCAATATGGAGCAACATAGAGGCTACATAGAGCTCATTTTAGAAACTAAACAGCTAAAATATTTGCTCAAAATAGGCCAAAGTTCTAGTCTGTTTAAAACATTTTCATCCTGGAAATTTTTAGTGTGCTATTGCCAAAACTGTTCAACTGCAACTATTCATTTAAGAACACTGTTAAGTATTCCTGCTCTTCTCTTTGTTCTCTCTCTGGGATCTTTTCTGGTTTCCTTCTTTCCTTGTTAACTAGTTAAATTGATCATATGAATTAATAAATTGATCTAAAAATTTTAGAAAAAATACAGCTGCTGCAGAAATCATACTTGTCATTCACTTTGTAAAGTAAATTCAGTCTGGTAAAGACTAACTGGGATGTCAGACTATTAATATGCAACCTTGCATTCTACATCAAATACAGTATATTAATAATGTTTTTTGCATGTTCAACTGTGTTTTATCTCACCCTAGAATTTTATACTTAAGATATTGTGTAATATTTAGATAGGCTTTTATTCTTAATATCAGAAATTAGTTATAATAACTTTAAGTTTTATTTACCCTTAAAATGGGAAAGGATCTTAAGAAGTGATCTAGCCTAGAGGTTTTCTTTACTTCCCCCCACTCCCAACCCCCTTTCTAACCCTGTAGGTATGATCTATAAAAGGAACTAGGTACTTTACATAAAGCAGTATAGAAAGACTGGAGCCTACTTGTGTCTTCTCTTCCCCTTACCTTCACAGGGGCTCTACAGAAACTCATTAAAATCTCTGGAGTACACTGAGCCCAAATATGAAAACTTCAAAATAGCCCAATCCTCATATGATAAGAAGAAAACTGAGGCCAGAACTGATTAACTTGTCCAGGGTTAGAGAGAAAGAGATAGATTTAAAACTATAACTCATCTAATACTGGATGTATTTCTCTATAGTAAACTCTCTTATCCATCTACCCTCTTATTAACTACATTGTGAATTTATAACACTATTATGTTGCTAATGCTATTTCAAGGGCCTTAATGTAGTTCTCCAATGGTCTAAATGTTTTTGATCATACAACCTTTCAGTACAAAATTTTTGAATATGTACTTCCAATACATATACTTATGTATGTATAAATTATATATGTACTACCATGTTGTTATAAAACATTCTCAAAGTAGAAATTATAAGACACAAAATATATAGAAATGTTTCCATACTTTCTTCCCTCACTCAAGTCGATCATCTTCTGCAGCCCTAGATGTTTAAATTAGTATTCTCCAAAATAGACATACCCCACTTTGACTACTGTGTCATACATGTATCTGTCATGTTTAGAACCCAGACATTTTACACATATGTTTGCTTATCTGCCCATTTGTTCAGAAATATTTAAGATCATTCAGAACTGGCAAAATTTTTATTCCATCCATAAGTAAGATAAAATAAATCCTTGCCAAAGAAATGAAGTAGTTTTACTGTTCACCTACTATTCTACTACTATGAATTTGTGGCTGCTTTATATTCTACAGAAATATACACTATTTGGAGAGTAACTTTATAAGTCAGAGTTATAGCTAGCATTTATCACTCAGTCACATTCCATAGTCTAGAATTCAGCTACATCTAACTGAAAGGGAGGAAAAATGTAGCTTAGCTGGGTGCCCAAGTGGAAAAGTGTAAGATCTAGTGTCCACTTAAGAAAATATAGATCACTCTAAATATTCAAATGGAAGAAATTTAATACAGCAAATTGTTTGCAAAAGAGTTAGAAGATCTGCGGAAACAAAAAGGGATTAATAACTACAGGAAAACACTATCCCCTAGGACTAGAGGAAGAAGAGAAAATGTTACCTAGGATCCATGATCACTATGCCATTGAGGCTGCTGATATTGGAACTGCTGCTGTTTTGCAGTAAGCCAGGGGCCCAGGCTCACCCAGAAGTTGCAGAGGACCAGAAATCCAAAGTCCCCTACCAATGTACTACCTCTGCGAAAGTCAGAGCTCCATGAATGCAGGGCACACTCTTTTGCTGTAGCCCCTTGAATCGCCCTGCCTGGTTAGGAACGCAGAAGCTGCTGGAAATTCCATCAGAAGCAGGAAACAAAAAAATGGCTTCTCTTTTCATCAGTTGGTCTCCCATTAGTCTCCCACAAATAGCAGGAATAGTCTACCTTGTTAGGTACCATTCTACCATACTTAAACTTCCATGTAACAAAGAAATAACATCATGCACCTGCCTAACAGGATGTAACTATTCCACTTGAAGATACCTTCACCCTCTCTCCCCCAAAAAGAAAAGGCATCTGACTACCAGAGTTACACCTTCTCTGATTGCATACATCAAAAATGACTTAAGTAAGGTGCCCATATATTTAATTCACTGTGATTAATTCACATCAAAGATCTGACTGCCACTCTGATCCTACCACCCATTTTAGTAATTGTATTCACCTAGTCTCTGGTGATTAAGCCCTGACACCTGGCCTCTGTATCTTCTCAGGCCTGCAAATGGCAGCAATCAATGAGCTTTCTAAAGAAGAGAGTGATCTCATCAATGCGTTTCTCAATGTCTTAGTGAAGAGAGAGTTTTCCTGCTCCTGAAACTTATGTGTTCCATCCTTGAAATTATAGCAGGGAAGTTTTGGTGTCTCAACCTACTAAAGATAAGCCACCATTAAGTCCTGTTTTCAGTCAACCAACCTGCTGCTTGAGCTACACATTATATCTGAAAACTCTTGTAAGTGCTCTCATGTTGATAAGTTCAGTCTAGTCCAATATTGAGATCTTTTTTGTTCTTTTTCCAGCATTTATAGGATCCATCCCCACACATATTCTCAGGTCTCTAACAATATAAACTTGCAAAATCTTGCAATTTGAGGGGTTTATAATCTATCTTCTCCCAGGGCAGACAAGGAACTACTTCAGATGAATTTGCTACAGGATCTTCAATCAAGGTAAGGCTAATCTCCTCAGACATGGGGAAAAGGAATGTTGTGGTCGGCAAAGAAAGATCAGGGGAATGAAATATACTCTTTAATAAAAAGAAAAAAAAAACATTTAATGCACATAACGACTTGGATGAATCTCAAGAACATTATCTCAAAGAGTTATATAATATATAATTCCATGTATATAACTTTTGAAGAGACATTATAGTGGTAGAGAACAGATTAGTGGTTGCCATGGGTTAGAGTTTGGAGATGGGCATGGCTGTTACTAGGTAACACAGAGGTTTGGGGGTTTTTGTGTGTGTGGTAATGGAACAATTCTAAATCCTTATTATAGTGATAGTTACTTATATAATGTACACATATGATAAAATTTTATAGAACTGTACATCCCCAAAAAAAGGAGTACATGCAAAAACTGGCAAAATCTGAATATAGTCTGTACCTGAGTTAATAATATTGTGCCAATGTTAGTTTCCTACTTTT